AATCATTGCATACCGCATTACTCTCATATTTGTAATCTTATTTATATATACTTTATTCGTTTTTTTTCAGTGGTATGATTTAGTGGTGAAAATTATTAGTGCCCCCCCAGTTTTGACTGTGGTATCTTATGTGCCCCCCCTATATATTGTTCCTAGAGTCGCCACTGCGTGCAGCAAACTGATGACATTATCTTAGCCTAGGCAAAGTAACTTGACTGAAGCCCAATGACTGCTATATAACTCCTTAATGTCGGCTGCATACATATGCACTATGGGGTCTATTCACAAAGCTTCGGCCCCAGGATCCCTTCGGTTCTACTGAATGATCTTACGGCTGGCTCCGGCCACTTGCAGAGGGATCAGCGTTCCTGGTTACCAGGTAACCATGGACACTGATCTCCAGACAGCCCAACTCTCCCGGGCGCTCCGGGAGTCTCCCGCTATTAGAGAGCGGCTGCCGGCCACCCGGGAGAGAGACACTGTCTAAACAAAAGTTTTATTCTGCTCTGCCCTGCTTTTTTTAAATTCTGACATCGAGCCGTTGGCTGCCATCAGAATAAAAAAACAAAATATTTACCATAGGAATGCATAGCTAGATTCCTATTGGCTATTTCAATTTGCAATAGCCAATAGCAAACTAGCTATTGCACCCGCCCACTGCTGCTGTCAATCAGCAGAGGGGACCTGCAGTTCTCCATCAGGTCCCCTCTAGTGATTGACAGCAGCAGAGGGTGGGTGCAATAGCTAGTTAGCTATTGGCTATTGCAAATTGAAATAGCCAATAGGAATCTAGCTATGCATTCCTATGGTGAATATTTTTTTTTACGGCAGCAGAACCACCTAGCCAATAGACAACAGTTGGGCGGAGCTAGCTGTCACTGCTAGCTCCGCACAATCGTTTTCTATTGTTTTTTTCTACTTTTTAACTATTTTGCTATTCTGCTCGGTGCCATAGAGGGACCGAGCAGAACAGCCGAGCTGAATGCCGCTCAGCGGCATTCGGCTATTTACTCACTGCTGTTCGGCATCTATGAGAATAGACCGAACAGCAGCGAGTAGCTTAGCCGATCCTGATGTTGGATCGGCTGAGTCGAACTCCTTCTGCACTTCGGGTCGCCCGAACATGCTGAGCATGTTCGGCCAACCTGAAGCCACACGAAGCCACCCGATGTACGGCTGATTTCAGCCGATATAAAGCTGAAATCAGCCATACAAGCCTGAAGTGAATAGCTGAACAGCGTTCGGCTCACTTCACTTAGGGTGGGTTGTTCACTCGGCTGCCTTCGGCAGCTTAGTGAATAGACCCCTATATTGCCAAAAGTATTGGGACTCCTGCCTTTACACACACATGAACTTTAATGGCATCTCAGTCTTAGTCCGTAGGGTTCAATACTGAGTTGGCCCACCCTTTGCAGCTATAACAGCTTCAACTCTTCAACTCTTCTTGGAAGGCTGTCCACAAAGTTTAGGAGTGTGTCTATGGGAATGTTTGACCATTCTTCCAGAAGCACATTTGTGAGGTCAGGTACTGATGTTGGACGAGAAGGCCCGGCTCGCAGTCTCCGCTCTAATGCATCCCAAAGGTGTTCTATCGGGTTGAGGTCAGGACTCTGTGCAGGCCAGTCAAGTTCCTCCACCCCAAACTCACTCATCCATGTTGCTTTTGAACTTGGTGATGTAAGGCTTGGATGCAGCAGCTCGGCCATGGAAACCCATTCCATGAAGCTCTCTACGCACTGTTGTTGTGCCAATTTGAAGGCCACACAAAGTTTGGAAGTCTATAATTATCGACAGTTGGCAACTTCTGTGAACTGTGCGCGTCAGCATGCGCTGACCGCGCTCTGTAATTTTATGTGGCCTACCACTTAGTGGCTGAGTTCCTGTTGTTCCCAGTTGCTTCCACTTTGTTATAATACCACTAACAGTTGACCGTGGAATATTTCGTAGCAAGGAAATTTCATGGATGGACTCTTTGCACAGGTGGCAACCTATCACGGTACCACGCTTGAGCGACCCATTCTTTCACAAATGTTTGTAGAAGCGTCTGCATGTCTAGATGCTTGATTTTATATACTGTGGCCATGGAGGTGATTGTAACACCTGAATTCAATGATTTGGAGGGGTGTCCCAATACTTTTGGCAATATAGTGTATGTCCCAGCACGGTAGTCCCTTATGCTTATTTGCCATATACAGTATATGCATTTGGCCGGCGTCACTATGTTGTGTTAGAAGCATGCTCAATCGGCACCCCTGGCATTGTGACTGTACTATTACTAACAGTTTTCTGTCAGCATGATAGCAATGATTGGGAGCTAATAGGCTGGCTCCCAATCATGGGATCTCTGTGATAGCCAATCACAACAATCACATGGTCTGGAAGTCCATGTAACATGTAGTTAAGGAACGCCAATGCCGTCCCCTCCGTCTTATATTTTATAAATGTCGCTCTCTTGTCCTTGACGAGCATTGCGATCTCTTAAAGGCCCAGCTTCTGCCAACTGGAAGGGGTTAATAATGAAAGGTACAGCTTTTTAAACAAAATGATACTGTATGTGGTAACATATCAGGAATGTAATTATGTAGACTTTTAAAGATCTACTTTAACCCCTTAATGACAAAGCTTCAGAAAAATGTTTAGTTACTGGGAACCGGAGCAATGTTGCCATTTTTGCTATGTGTTTGTTTAATAGTAATTTCCATCTTCCTCATTTATTCCATCAACACATATTATATACCGTTTGTACAGCGCTGCGTGACGGAATAAATGTCAGTCAAAGTACCGCAGCGCTGAACACTGAAAAATGGCCTGGCCAGGAAGGGGATCTAAACACCTGATCTTCAAGCAGTCAAAGGACAAAATGAGCTTTAATTTGATTTGACATATGCATATATAAATTCTTAGTTTTTTATCAAATATTTTAAAAAATACGACCAGTGCCCATTTTCCTGCATGATGGAGTTATTCCATCATCAGTCTTTAACCATTTAAAACATTTTTGACAGAATAATTCCCTCATCGGTCTGGAAGGAATTAATGGCTAAGTTTACCTTTTAGACCATGTTTCATGTTACACCCATATTCAGGGTATAACATGGAACATGGTCACATTGGACTCCCCCACCCCCTGTATCGCGGGGTTCTTCTCTTTGCAGGTTGCTGTTGAAATTTTTAGAATGGTACAGCTGCACATGGCTCTGTCCACACAGCTGCGTCATACATTACAGATCCTTTGACCGGATCTGTGAATGGAAAAATTACAAGTCCCATCAGCCACTGCAGCAGAGGGACTGGTAGTTCTCCAGCCTGGCAGTGACATCACTGCATAGTCCATAGTCCAATTGTTCTTCCTCCCGTCCATGTTTTTAAACGTCCGTACTGCGGTACTGACGTGGACTGGAGGACCAGTCTGCAGGAGCCAGAGCATTGCACCCATGATCTACCAATTGCAGTTGCAATGCTTTACTGGCTCCAATAGAAACAAAAATAAATGCAAATTTTTCTCTTTTATGAAGAAGCATGCAATTATTATTTTTTCTCATGAAGTGGACTTTCCCTATTGATGCTGTGCAGCCTAAGTTATTGATATTGTATATTTTACATTGAAGGGACAGTGTCACTTTTATTCACAGTAATGTAAACTGGACAAATATGCTTTACGTTATGTTTTGTGGTAAATAAACTTTATGATATTTATTCTTCCTGTATATGTTGTCATTCAAATGGTGTCTCTTTTGCATTGTGGTATTGTGTGCAGCACTTTGTACACATACCTATTTGCATGTAAACCATTAGCTATTATTGTTAAACCATTATTATAATGCTGTTATTATTAAGGGTACAGTCAGACCAGTCCTGTTTATGACATGCTTGGCAAAACATAACCTGGCATGCATTCGGTGGTGTCGCAGTGAGCGGATGATCTTTGTGACATGTCAGCATTTCTGCAGCTGAAGTGACAGGGCAAATGACATTGTGCATTGACATATTCCTAATCTAACCATTGCAGGAACAGCTGAGAGTGGGAAGCTCCATATTCTGAGTCAGAAGACACAATGTGCATTCATACCTTAATCTTCCAGTTATTTTTACTTTCTTGGTTTTTAAGCAGGAGAGGAAAAATAAAATGGAGAAGGGTGAGAGAACAGCAGAAGTGTACATGATCCCTGCTCTGAAAGCATCAGGGCAACATCTGCACAAAATGCAAATCGTGAATTGCACACATCCCCTTTCTATGTATGTGATCAGCTGTGTCTGTGCTTTCTGTAGCTCCCTCCCCTCCTCCCTCCCACGCCTCCAGTGTGCAATTCTACATAAAAACACAGATCCTGCCAGCTCCCTCAATCACAAGCACAGGCGAAGAAGAGCAAGGAAACGAGCCAGTCTGCTCTTCGCTTTCACTGCATCTTGCAGTCTCTGCAACTAACCTGCAGAGACGGATACCTTAAGCACTAAACCCAAATCTGATGTTCGTAACTTGTTGGACTTCTGCTTTGCTTTTCATTTCCTTTTGAAGCCCTTTTTGGAGGGGGAGTAGGATAAGTGAAGACTTTGACTCCTCTGTAGCTGCCATGGCTTTGCCAGACACTGCACGTGGATTACCCAATGGAGGCGGTGGAGGAGGCAGTGGAGGAGGCAGCTGCACAGTGGCCCTGGCCACGGATGCTTTGTTCCCTGAAATAGTGGAACTAAATGTTGGTGGACAAGTTTATGTGACTCGACACACAACTCTAGTGTCAGTGCCGGACTCTCTTCTCTGGCGTATGTTCTCCCAGCAGAAACCAGGAGAGTTGGCCAGGGACAGCAAAGGTCGTTTCTTCCTTGATCGGGATGGCTTCTTGTTCCGTTATATCTTGGATTACCTGAGAGATCTGCAGCTTGTTCTGCCTGATTACTTTCCAGAAAGAAGCCGGCTGCAAAGAGAAGCTGAGCATTTTCAGTTGTCTGAACTAGTAAAACGCCTGAGCCCCCTGCGAATCAGTAAGGACAGCTCCATAGGAGGCGAAGAACCCCCTTTGCTCCTAACACCAGCAGCAGGTCAAGATTCTGACTTGGACCCAGCAGGCATTCCAGTCTCACCCTCTCCTGCAGCTGGGGTGCCCTCCCCTACGTTAGATCCATATCGTTTCAATGCATCCTCTTCTTGCAGCCCTGCCTCAGTTCCTCGCCTGACTCCTTCCCAGTCACTTGAAGGCAAAAGATCTGGATATATAACAGTTGGCTACAGAGGTTCTTACACCATAGGACGGGAGGCACAAGCTGATGCTAAGTTCAGAAGAGTTGCACGTATCACTGTCTGTGGTAAAACCTCTCTGGCGAAAGAAGTGTTTGGCGAAACCTTAAATGAAAGTCGGGATCCTGATAGACCTCCTGAGAGGTATACATCCAGGTACTACCTTAAGTTTAACTTTCTGGAGCAGGCTTTTGACAAGTTATCTGAAGCTGGCTTCCATATGGTGGCATGCAGTTCCACTGGGACATGTGCATTTGCCAGCAACGATCAGAGTGAGGACAAAGTGTGGACCAGCTACACCGAATATGTCTTCTGCAGAGACTGAACCTTTTAAGCATTTTAAGATGCACAGGAAACACACTGTCAAGCTCATTCTGCCATATATAGTACGCCTTCTGATCTCCGATCCATACAAAATGATGCCGTTTTTTTAAGCACACACGAGAGATTGGTATATTCATGCTCTTTCTTTTTAAGTTAATAGGAATCAATTTCCTGGACAGCACAATATTCGGTAAACTAAGAATGTGGTGAATTACTGTAAGATCTCCCTTACGTATCATACTGCTGCACAGCACTAGTAATCTTGCGCCAGAAACACACACACTCACACTTTTTTGTTACTAGGCTTCCCTTTTTAATGTGTGTGTGTTGTGTGTTGTTTGTCTTTGCCTTTTCTTCCTTCTTCCTGTTGGAATGTATCAAGACAGCATAAGATCCATCTGTTTAGGAATGTGAGGGAGGACAAAATATCTAACAACTGCTTCTCAGCTTATATCAGGAGCTTGGAATGAACATTGTTTTTGAAAGAAACCTTTGCCCTTGAATTGGCTCTACTCCATAGCAAATACTGTAACTTATGCAGTCTTGAAGATCTGACCAGTTACATTATAATGTTGACAGAATCCAATCTAATGTGTCATTTCTTTTTTACTACAGTTAGAAAGTAGAAACCTACCTACCTGATTTATTTGTGGCCGATTAGTGATCTCAGGCACTATTTGTGCTATTATTTCACACATGAAAACCAGTGCCATTAATGTCAACATGAATCAACACAATAGCATTTTCAATTTTTTCCAGTTATGCTAAAAATGTAATGTACTACACAGTGTGAATGGCTTTGTCCTATATATCAGAGCTAATATTTATGGACTTTTTAAATCCCTTAAAGTACAGTGACCAATAATGTGCAGTGACCAATACCAACCAATTCAATTCAGCAATACCAACCAATTCAGCAATCAGTGTTAAAGGTTGCCTTTGACTGTATTTTTGTATGATTGGTTGTTGTAGGACCTTGCCATTGTGCACAGTGCTATCAAATATCCCCCAGTACGCCAATCAATACAACTTTGTAACAGCAGCAGTACCTTAGGGGGTTAAAAAGGTTTTATTGCTTCTTTTCAGTTTGCACTTTTCTGGCAATGGGTTTTGAAATGTTCTGAAGAGATGCTCACAGCACGCAGGCTCTGTGATTAATCACTTTCAGAAGTTAATTAAAAAACATTAAAGGGCTTATTTGCAGAGTAGCTTTTGGCCTCTCTGAGTAAACAAGTTAGATGTGCATCAAACGTGTTGGTTGCCTTTTGAAATGTGTGCCATATTTTTCTGTTTAATTCAAATAGAATGTTTTTGCTCATACTGTGCAAATGATGCCCATGTCCAGTTATTATTATAGAGAGTACTACTTGGTATATGAAGACAGTTACATAAAAGGCATTCCCATTGGGCAGAAGATATATATATACTTCTGCTTCTTATCTTTTCTGTTTTACTTAGCGAATTGGAATCTACAATTAACATCCGTGACCTGCATTTCTCATTGAACGAATTATAAGGCTTTCCTCGTAGGGGGCAAAAGTGCCAATAGGCAGATGCACAAGTCTAATCAATTTATGTGCATTCAGGTGCGTCTGGGTGAAAACACTGCTGTAGTGTCACAGGGCACATGCACATATAGACACACAGTCTACACACAGAGGCAGTGGAGTAAAAATGATTTATAATTCTATTACTGCAGCAGCTTTTGATATGCATTGAACTCGCCTTGATAGGCTCTCTGGTGTCTGCAGAAGCACATAATACACTAATCAGTCATTAATATTCTACAGCACACAGACAAGTATGAATCTATGAAATATCATTTCTCACTGAAATCAGATCAGACAACCATGGCTTTACCAAAGATTGCCATTGCATTGATTGAATAATTTATGTGTTTTTGCTTTCTTGCAATAAGATAAAATTCATAATGCAAACAATTTAAATCTCATCCCTTTTATTTGAGGAAGGAACTGCTGAGCAGTACAGACATTTGTCATTTTTCTTTTTTTTTCCACACATACTATCCATGGTTAGACGTATAGTCACATGATCTCAATGGTGACATTAGTGTATGTATATTTCTATTTTATTATACTGTATTACAAAGCATCTTTATTTCAGACTAGCAATAAAAACAAAAATAACAATAATAACAAATATATTCTTTTGCTTTAACTAGGTCATATTTAACAACCTTTTAAACATAGATGTCAGTCATCACATGTATTTTTTATTAGAAGAGAACCATTTCTTTTCTGTAATTTTCACTACTGCTTCCAGCTACAAGTAGTTGAATAAAACCAATGCTTAAGTGATCTAAATTATATATAGTCTACAGTGTGTAAAATATTTTTACCATTACCTCTGTATATTGAAAACCTTGGAATAATATTAATGGTTCTTTAATAAAGGTATGTCTTATGTCATATAGCCTGCAGCTTCTCATAGTTATATACCAGTCTTGAGCTTATTAATGATGGGGATTGGGGTTCTGTTGTATAGTTGCTCACTCTAGGCCCAATATGCCAACATATGCGAATGCTCTATTTACTATGACCTGATGTTTACAAAATATTACCCATTGTCCAGACCACTAATAATTTTGTATTCTTCTGTACTGATAAAAAAAGTATATACTTTGAAGTTTCAGCACCTTTCAGCAATGATGCTTTTCTGTGATTAATACTGGGTTGTAGTCTGCAATGTTGCAGCATTGTGAACAGAATTAAGCTGAGGCAACTGACTTAATTCATCATAGTGAATGATCCTCTTGCATAGAATACTAAATAGGGAGAGAGATATTTGTATATAAATATAGAATAAAATCATTTTAAAGGAATCATTTAGTTTTCTAATCATATATCAGTGCTCTGGTGTAACATATTAGTAGCTTAAGGACCTTGACACATATAT